AAGAGCTTCGTAAAAATAATTAAGATCATATATAATAAAATTATTAAGAATTCTTAATAGGCAAATATAGTATTAAGAATTTGATACTAATTTAATTAAAATCTTCGTTAATTTAATTAAGTAGTTTTTTGGGCGTATAGTGATTAAAATATAGGGCTTAAATAAATATCAAAGTTTGAAAATATTAGATGCTTACCTCTTGTGAGCTCTTTCAAAACTCAAATATGCCAAAATATATGACATAATTCACTGAAGTCAATCCTTTTTATATACAGCATTCTTCAAACCGGTTTAAACACGGCAATGCAAGTTAAAATACGATCGCTGCAGCAGGCTCGTAATCGCTTTTCTTGGAAACTTCATTGCAGGTACTTAAACAAAAAGCGCTCTGTTATCCAAAGTCGCCTGTTCGGGTTTAATCCGTGTATTGAACCAATGTTCCAGATTTAAATATAAATATATAAACACATATGTACAACACACAAATATACGTAGAAGCACACACAATACACGCACAAGTGTTCTCTATCACAAAGCTGTGTAACCACGCGCACACTCGTCACACTACTTGTATCAACTGCCTGTAAGCGTTGTATCGTCTTACAACAATGCGCGCAGAGGCGACTGCAGGAATGAACTCTTATTGCAGGTACTTACTTACACAAAAAATGCTCTGATATCCAAAGTCGCAAAAAGTCGCCGATTTTTTTTATTTCACTAATTTTCCTAAAACTTATATTACTGTCAGATGCAAAAAAATCAGATTGGACAAATTTGGACATTTTTACTTACACTATTTTAACTTTTTTTCTACATAGTAAGTTTATCTACAATCTATGATATTTCCATATAAATAATTATATTTTAGCTCATTTGTGGCACAGTGCAGCGGCTGGCCGGATGAACTGACCTCGCTGGCCGGATCCGGCCCGCGGGCCGTAGTTTGGTGACCCCTGCTCTAAATGTATCTTGACAAGATCCTGATAGTTTCCTAATATTCTCAATGAGCTTTTTTCCATAGTAAAATTTTTTATACATATTCCCTAATGTTATTACTTTATAATTCCTATCTTCGTAAATATATTTTGGTAACACTCGGATAATCCAAGCGTTGTTTAAAAGTTTCATATCTTAAGTAAATTGTTAGAATTTATTACCGTA